AGAAAACCAAGCAAACGTTGGTGCAGGTGTCTATTCTGAACTCTTCTCTTTCTACGCAGCAGTGGGCCACAACAGATCCACTTTCGAAGGAGAAATAGAGGCTATTAGGATAGCACTATGCCAATTATGTTGCCTGGATACGAAATTCACCAAAGCGGTGATACTTTCGGACTCACAGTCAGCAATAAACTCTATTGGAAACAGAGAGACACCCAAAACAGCTGAGATAAAGGAATGTAGAAAACTCTATGAGCTGCTGAGAGAGAAAAACAAAACAGTGGTCCTGCAATGGATTCCTGGTCACTGTGGCATTAAAGGCAATGAGATTGCTGACACACTTGCTAAGAAGGGGACAACAATTTTGCAATGCATGGACCGGCCGATGTCTTTCCACACAATGAAGGCCTTAATCAGGAGAGAATTCCAGACCTCAAGGTGCAACGAACTTAAAGCTCGAACAAAGGAGAAACAGTGGACAGTGGCACTCTCCGACATACCCGACTGGCCAAGAATCGAAGCCGTTGCTGAGTTTAGACTACGTACCGGACACGATTGCTTGGCAAAACACCTTCACAGACTGGGAGTATACACTCAACCCACATGCCCTCTATGTAACCTACATGAGGAAATGGAGAAGACCCACCTGATTCGGTGTCCAGCTCTAAAGACAAGGACAGAAAGCCAAAGATACTGGGAAGCAAGAAGACTGCTAATGAACTGCTATTAATTAACTGCTATAAATGTACCCCCCCCCCACTCTGGGGGAAGCTGAAGTCAAAGATTAAGGGCTAATGATAAATATCATAAAGCCTGCCATTTGAAATAAATAAATAAATATTTGAAAAATAATGGGCTTGTGGACAAAAAGAAGTAGGCTAGATGAAAAATATGGACCAAAGACCAACCACTCTCTCATACAAAAAAACGTCACCTCGATCGATATCCATAAATTTGGTAGAATCTACAGCTCTTATCAATGGCCGTACAAATATTCAAGTTCGGCTTTCCTAATGGCTCACTCTGTGAAAAGTCACATTTAGCCAAACAGGTTTTGGAGCCTTGGGTCCTATATCCCCACCTTCCATTGCTGTTAATTGAAAATGATCTTACCGCCAACTGTCATTATACCAAAGGAAGAGATTGTACTTATGCTGATTCGAAGTACCTTCTTATTTGGTTACCACCTGCAGAATATGAATGGTTAAAGCTGAGAAGACTTAAAGACTTTGCGTCACTTTTATTGGGGTTCTGCCAATGAAAATTTTGTTAATCTCTATTGAGGTCTTAGAGCACATTGAAGTAGAATGGGGTGGAGTGGGGTAAATACTAACTCAAAAAATTTAAGCCTACAATGAATAAGAAAGGCATGGGATCTAACAAAAAAATAGAGCGGGCTACACAGTAGAAAGTTTATTTATTTATTTCAAATGGCAGGCGTTATGATAGGTATCATTAGACCTTTAGCCGGCTTCGTGCTTCACAGAAAGG